TATACCTCTGTTTTAAAGTCAGAACTAGTTGCCCATAAGAGATTAATTTTCTTTTTTTGAGCTCTAACTGGAAGATAGAATGAATAAGGGAATAGAGATAGACTCCCTACTTTTATGGGTTGTAGCATTTTTAGAAACATGTCCTCTACACAAGTATACTTAAAGAGGCAGCACAGCTTTATAGTTAAAAAGCACTTACTGCCAGCCTGGGCAACATAGTGTGAACTCCCCCCAAAATAAAACAGCAGTGTGTGGCTGGCTGTAGTCCCAGCTACTGATTGGGCTGGGGTACTATAGCCTAGGTGAGAGAGAGAGATCCCATTTCTCTTTTTTTATTTTTTATTTATTTTTGAGACAAGAGTCTCACTCTGTGCCCTGGATAGAGTACCACAGTGTCACAGCTTATAGCAACCTCAAACTTTTGGGCTCAAGTAATCCTCTTGTCTTAACCTCCTGAATAGCTGGGACTACAGGATGACTGGCTAGTTTTTATAATTTTAGCAGAGATGCAGTCTCGATTTTGCTCAGGTTAGTCATGAACTTCTGAGTTCAGGCAGTCTGCTTGCTTCAGCCTCCCAGAGACCAGGATCACAGGTGTGAGCCACTGCCCCATCCTCTTTTTTCTTTTTTCAATTTTTTTTGGTAGAGACAGAGTCTTGTTTTATTGCCCTCCGTAGAGTGCCATGGCATCACACTGCTCACATCAATTTTCAACTCCTGGGCTTAGGCGATTCTCTTGCCTCAGCCTCCCAAGTAGCTGGGACTACAGGTATCCACCACAGTGCCTGGCTATTTTTTGTTGCAGTTTGACCGGGGCTGGGTTTGAACCCACCACTCTGGTATATGGGGCCGGTGCCCTACCCACTAAGTTACAAGTGATGCCCTAAATACTTTTTTATGCTGTTATTTATGTGTGTGTGTGTGTGTGTGTGTGTGTGATTGGTAACTGCAGACTTATATTTGTGTTTGTATAGATTTTTTAAATTGGAATGTTATTTTCATAAGTAATTGTAAAATATACCTTGCAGAAAAGCAGTAAAAAAGATGCTTTTAGATTTAAAAAGAAGAAATTCTTTAGTACCATTATGTTTTCTTTCTAGTGTTTGCAGAAGCCAAACCTGACCACAGACACAAAAGACAAGGAGTACAGACCCCATGATATTCCTCAGAGGCAGTCTGTGCAGCCCTCAGAAACATGCCCTCCGGCCCGAAGAGCAAAACGCATGAGAGCAGAGGTAAGAGCCTTGTGAAGTTGATCAAAAGGATTCTCGAGCCCTAGTACTGAAGGCTGTCTCACACTGGGTTTCTCTCCTGCATACACTCTTCGTAGTTTTCAATCTTGTCAGTCTTGGGCAGCGCCTGTGGCTCAGTGAGTAGGGCACCAGCCCCATATACCGAGGGTGGCAGGTTCAAAGCCAGCCCCGGCCAAACTGCAACAAAAAAATAACTGGGCGTTGTGGTGGGTGCCTGTAGTCCCAGCTACTCAGAAGGCTGAGGCAAGAGAATCGCCTAAGCCCAGGAGTTGGAGGTTGCTGTGAGCTATGATACCACGGTACTCTATCTACCAAGAGCGATAAAGTGAGACTCTGTCTCTTAAAAAATAATCTCATCAGTCTTATAAAGGGATGATATGTGTATTTCAGCTTTTTAAACTTGTGCAATTGTACCATCAAAGGGATAAGGAGTTGAAGAAGTATTTCTACGTTTATGCTGCCAGGACAGACACCTGCTTAAATTGTTGCTAGTCAAAGCTTTAGGAATAATTGTTGGTGTTGTGTTCTTTTTTTTTTTTTTTTGAGACAGAGCCTCAAGCTGTCCCCCCGGGCAGAGTGCCGTGGCATTA